TAATTATAGCATTTTTAAAATAAGGAAAGATTTTAAAATTGTCTGCGATGCGCAACTAGTTCACCACATTGACCATGTTAGCCGGGTTTTACCCAAATTTTCTTCAACAGATTGGGTCGGATTTGATTTGAAAACCATATTTCTTGCATTGAAGATTCTTCCTAATTCAATGATTTCTATTAAAAAAATTAAAGAGTCTAAAAGTGAAATATTTTAGAGAGCTTTAATTATGGTCACCTCTAAATTTGTTAAGATTACCGCAATTGTTAAATTTTTATTTTAATTTAATTATTAAAAATAAATTGTAATTGATAAAATAATTAATATTCATTAGTTAACAAATTTACATTAACTTATAAATAATTATTTACAAATATTATAATTAATTAAAAAATATAAATTAAAAAAATTATAATTAAACCATGTGGACTTAACAACATCATGAGTGACAATAATCTTAGTCTTTTAGAGTCATATAAGTAATAATCTCAACTAATATTAACTCTTTTTATTTTATGAATCAAATCACTTGGTTGAAACCTTGATGAGAGAGAGGGTGAAGAAGAGAATAAGAGTTTGAAATTGGCTATACATATAAGAAAGTATTTCTTAACTATGAATTAAATTAATTACTCCACAACCCTCACTTATTTTATACGCTTAAAAAATAATACAATCAATCATCATATATATGCTAACAAATCAATGAAGCTCTTAGAACCTATTTGATTAATTGTTCATAAAAAAAGAACCTGTTTTATTCATTTATTATTATTTCCATCTTAAAAAAAAAAAATCACTTATTATTCCAATACACAAACTTGCAAAATGAAATGATGGATCAATGAATCCCAAAGCGAAATCACTCGAGATTCAAGGAACACCCTGGTTATAAATAATAATAACAATAAAAAACCAAAAATGAAACCAAGCAGAAAACGGGCCAAAATATCAAGCCCAAAAGATTAGGTGCCCCAACTGTTATGGCTACTTTGGCCCCTCAACAATAGAAGTCCGATCCCTTCTCTTTTCGGCCAAAACAAAAACATCCTTTAATTATTTTCTCTCGTTTTCCTTATTCCTTCAATTTAATCAAATATGTAGGGGAAATGGCTGATTTCCTATCTAAATATCTTTCTATTTTCATGCTAAGATATAAAATGCTTAACCAATGGTAGTTTTAAATAAAGGGAAGAAAGTTTAAAGTGAAATTAACTCCATTTCCAACCATAATTATAGTCCTATATGATATAATCATCTAAACAGTCTAGACTCTGCAACCATCTTTGAGAAATGTGTGTTTTGATCATTTGAGTAATATTAAAGATCATTTATAAGCTTAGCTACAAAAATTTTAACTTTTGAAAACTCTTAAACACATTTTTCAATCATATAGATCCTATAACACATAATTGAGAAATGCATGTCTTGAATATTATGACAAAATATTTAAGCCTCTAAATGTAAAACATTCACATAAATTAATTATAAATGAAGCAATGGAGTTTCACCTTGCAAAATCCAGCCTGTTTTTGCCCTATTTGAGTCTTAAAGCCACCCAAGAACTGATATCTTTCATGCCCACATTGCTTGCTTAACCATCACCCTCAACTTAAGTTTTTTACCATTATCTCAATCAATTTCTTCACGCCAGCTGCAATAACATAACTAGTTAGGTTCTCAATTCTCATCAACGTATGTTTATCGTTTGTTGAATACTAATTACATATTGATGCAACATTAAGAATCTCCATTGAAATGAGTTAAAAAGATATTGAGGACATTAAGCTAGATACCCTTTTGTCACTATGAAAAAAGCACATTCGACTGATTCATTACGAAGCGGTTTTGGTGCAGATTACGTTGCAAAATTCATAATCATAATCATAGTCACAACTAAGGGAACATGGAAGAAACTCAATGTCAAGCCACAAGTAGAGTAGGTTTCAAGCAAGTGGTTTCTTCTGACAGTGAAGGAGAGAGCAGTGCTACTTGATGTCTTACTTTATCTGTTTTGGTGTTTTCATTTTGTAAATGGTTGCTAGTTCTTGCTATGATATAATAAAAGTAGATCAAAGGAATTTTAAGGTAAATTCAATATCGATATTAGACCATCTAATGCTTTCCACCATATTTGATGTCACACTTTTCTTTTTATTTCAAGTCTATTAACATTATTTCCTTTAAGTTGGATCAATATTGAATTATAAAACACCAACTATCAAATTGAAAAGGCTTACCTTGCCCCTAAAATTAGGAATCTATGTTGATCTAATAATTAGTATTTTACACACCAATATAGTTTAAAATACAAAACACTTTTTTTTGTTTTTTATAAATAATATATAAATAAAAAAAACAATTGTGTAGTTTGAATTGTGCCACTTAAACTATTGTAAAATATTTAAAAAATCACTTATTATTCCTACACACGAACTTGCAAATTGAACCATGGATCAATGAATCCCAAAGGTAAAACATTTAAACTTGGGATAAAAGCTAGCATTCAGGCTACCACAAGAAGGTAGCATCAACATTCTCATCATTGTAGTACAAGCAAGGATGTTGCTCGAACCATTATGCTTATAAAACCTTCTTGGCCATCATCACAACTTCCTTGTTGCTCAATGGACCTGAGTTTCTCCTTCAGCACCATCTACACTACATTGCAAAATGCCCCGCATGCCTTACCTCCGCCATCACTCTCACTCTCACTAATGTCTGCAGACGTCTCATTTGCTTGGCACCTACTTAGCAAAATGCCTTCATCTAGTTGTCCTAAGGAAGATGAAATTTGAGACTAGCATTAGCACTAAAGGATTTTAACAGGTGGGTGCTAATGTCTGAGGTGTTGATGCTTGTGAGTGAAGACAAGTGTTGTAGTACACATTGGAAGGGAATGGTTTTAGGCTTGTAAGATAATGGTTTTTAATTCTTTGTGATAGAAGATGGTCCAATTTGTTCTTCTCCTTGTCAATGGGACCTTCACTACGACACGAATCCAAAAGGATCATGAAGCTTGAGCCTTTAGGTGGATGATTAACTAGCTGTCTCTAGTCAATATTGGCATATAAGACCTTAGTTAAGTTAGTTATCAAGAATTCTCACTAATGCAATAAAAAAGCAGTTAATTTCTAGACGTACCAATACAAAATTAGAAAATTAGAACTTACCAGTGATTAGATTGAAGTCGTAAGGCAAAATTACCTCATCTTGTCTGAAGGGATGGCCAAGTTTCATAGAAGGAATCCTGGTTCCATGGCCACAATAGTGGAAAAATGGGACATCCTCTGTTTTAGCCCTATCCATTATCCAATTAAGTGTTGGATTGATGTTGGCACTAGCACGGATAATCGGGGACCCTGGTGCATCAATCAGAAACTCAATATGAGCATAATCAAGCCCAAACCTTTTCACCAAGACTTTTTTAATAGCTAGCACATCATCGATGCAACCATGCAGCTCGTCCTTGGTGTTGGAGTAATTGTAGGTCACCAGAACAACCAGTCTCTTGTTACCTTCTCCACCTTCTCCATTTCCTCAAAATTGAAACTCAGATTTTGACATCATACCTTTCAGATCTTTTGTTCTTATAGGTAAGGAGATTTGAGAAATGGTTCAAGCAACTGCCCTGTCAGGTTCAGTTTGCCTTTCAAGTATGGGAAAATTGGTTCTTCTTTTTTTAGCACAAGACAAGAAAGGCTTTCTTTTGTGCATAATTTGGTAGGCTTTGACTTCCAACAAAGCTATGCATTAATATATATATATATATATATAAAAGAAGTGCACATGGTTATTCAAGAAACCTCTGTGTTACACCGACTTTAGTTGTGTCTATTAAACAAAGCCAGTTTTTTTTTTTTTTAATTAGATAGACAAAAAGAGAAGCTCTCTCCTTGTAATATGTATGATCGAATCAAGAATCCCCAAAAATGTCTCCATATTTTATAGATGGGATTTTCCTGAAAGTGCATTCACCTTAACAAGTTAAAGATAAGTTATTTAAGGTTCCAACAAACAAGAAAATTTGTGAAACTTTAAAGTAACTAAATTAATCATCAAATAATGAGGCACTTCATTTATATCAAGCACAAGCCAAGGATCATTCAGGCATGAAGATAAAGAAGATGAGCCGTTAGAAGCTAAGTCATTTAACGTCTAAACAACTAGTACTATACACAACAAAATTTCAAGATGGTCTAGAAAATCACATTGGTAGATTGAAAATAATCAAAATGATCCATTCCATTAGCTTCTTCCATTACACTACCAACACAATTCATGTTGTGTACTTGTCAAAAACTGAGAAAGAAACCTACAAATAATAAATGAATGAATGGATATTGATAATTGAATGCCTATCAGAAAATTTTGATTGCATAAATATTGCATGTCTAATCTTGTAATCTCCAGTATTACAATCAATAACAAAATAATTAACATGATTTTGGTTCAAAGTTGTAAGAGGTAGATTGAGGCATATAGCAAGAAGTGACACCTAAAGATCTTTCCAGACATTGAAATTAATACTTGAACTATTATAGTTAAGTGTCATATCTTAGCATCCAATAAAGAATGTACTATGAAGGGGTTAATAGTTACTAGAGCATGTGTTGTTCCTCTGGTATTAGCTGCAACAGCAACCTCATCTTGATCAATTATTGCTTTAGCATAACCTTTATCAACTATTTGATGGTTTTCCAACTGCAATTTGGTCAACATAAATATGGAAATCAGCTATACTTAAGCCATTGTCATTCCTAAATTAGCATTTATGCTATTTTCTGCTCAATCACTTAAGCTGTCTTCCTCCTTCACTACATAACAAAATAAGTAGTGTTTGGCAGGTGTACCAACAATTGACACTACCACCAATATAATTAGAACTCTATATAAATGCATAAGATGTCCTTTGCAATTTCTATCCATACCATTGCATCAAATCAAGTCAATGGAGGACAAAAGATGGAGTATTGCACAAGAGAAATCAAAGCTGCAGAAATTCACAAGTTATACATCCATATATTATAGTTTTGTTTTCCTTTTATCTTGAAAGAAGTTTGTCTTTACTTTATAATGGAATATTTTAGAAGCGTACAACTAAACTAGAATCCGATTGCAGTAGCAACCAACTTCACCATATGCATTGCTACATGTATGCACGAAGTTAACTGAATTTAATGAAATGCAAAAGTAATTGGGACCCAATGAAAAGTTGAATATCTCTAATTCTTAATGCTTTGATTAGCAAGAGTTCTACCTTTATTACTCACAAGTAAAGATAAACAAATTTTTATAATAGAAATGAATTAACCTGATAGCAATAATTGTACACCAAACTATTTCAATCTCTGAATCCAAAGGAAAATTTTGAAAGAAAATTTTACAGGAAAATGAAAATCATGTTTTGGAAATAGCACCATCATTCTTGTTAATCATGCATTGCCTAGTTTGATCTACCATTAAATGAAGAACATATGGATTTTTTTCCATCCACTAGGTGGAAGTGACGAATGAGAAGCCCAGACCAGATCTCTCAAGAGAAAAACTTTACATTATTGAGAAGGAAGCATAACTTGAATTTTGTTTTAGCTCCCCAATTGACAAATGTCTCATTACAAGTATAGTGTTTGTGGTTTCCTCTCACACCACCTAGTCGAATTTCACCAAGATGTACTGATGTGCAAGACACAGCCCCACCTGTAGGAGAATGTAATCTTTTTCAAGAGAAGCAAAATGAAAAAGGAATATATTGCCTATGGTTTAATATCGAAGAATGAAGGCTTCAACCTCCACTTAATGAGAGCACAGTCACAATTAAAAGAGAAAAGGCTATATTTTAAAAAGATACATTCCTTTCATGATATACTTTGACTAGTATTCGATAATTGATATAGAACACTATGAAGGAAAATGTATTTTTTAACTTTTATGGGAACAATTTCTAGAAGTTAATCTTCCAAACTCATCATCATAGTAGACAACCTAAACTTTCAATATTAGGGGCTGCCAATTGTAAATTCCAGTACCCAAAGGCTAAACCATTCAATCATATGAAGCCTAATGGCAATTCAAGCCATTCTTTCCCAAAAAATCAAGCCTCACAAATCATTATGACCATGCAAACCAACAAGATTAAAAAGGCCAACTTTATGCTTACAACTTACAAGACTACACATGGTTAAATAACCGATTAAATAAACACCACGATCTGATCTTTGCACATTTAATTTCCTATAATCCGAAGGCAATCCAAATAAATCTTAGCCCCAACGAGCATGCTTTTGTAGGTATGATCTCTTATTTTTTTCACAAATCCAAAGCAACTAAACTAGCTCAAGTCCACCTCAGGATTAAAGGTTCTAATTCCTGGTTTCTTTAATGACTACAACTGCCTTCAAAAATCCAATGCATATTAAAATTATCATAATGGTTAAGGAGATTCCACCCTTAGGTATTTGAAGATAATAAGAATCAAAAGCATGTATTTTGAATAAAATCACAGCATATACATAGAGAAAGGATAAAGGCATTGAAGAATTGGCCACACAAATTTTAAACATATAAATGAGAGGCACAGAGAAAGTTATGAACCTTTAACACCAGAGTTTAGCACAAGCGTTATGGGATTAAGTAACCACCCACGCTTGTCCTTGGTAATGGAAGAAGGGAACCTAGCTTTGAAGCTAACAAGATTAGCCTTAAGATCATCGTCTTGGCTCCATTTCTCATGGCTTCTTAGGAAATCATGAGAAGGAGAAGATGGTTGCAATTTGAGGAAGACCCATGTTAACAAAAGAAGCCTTGAGAGCAAGAAAGCGAAGGCTTGGGGCTTCTTCAAGAAATGGGTAAGAGATGAGAGTGAAGATGAGGTTTGAGTTTGAAATGGGTTCTCATTGGAGTATGAATTCCTTCTAAGATTCACCATTATCTGCTTGCATTTGCATTCTCTTCGTCGTCTTGCGAGCTACACTTTGATATTCACGTCTAACGCCCGCCTGTTTTTGGAATTACATGTTCTTATTTTTCTTTATGTTTATTAGTTATATTTATTGGAAATAAGGAAGTAAATTAGGTAATAAATTGTCTATTAATTTATTTTGTCTTCAAACAAGGACAAAGACAATGAGGGGATGTTGAGACCTAGGTGTTTAAAATATGTTTTCAAACTTTAAATGGATAAGTTTCAAGGGTCTGAATTGAGTTTCAATTTTAAATTAGAAATCTTATATTTGAATCATTGAAGAAAATAGAGAGAGTTTGTGGGAAAAAAATGACTATTCCTTATCACACAACTTAATTATTTAAGGTACTAATAATAACTTTTAAATAGATATAATTCAAATCTCCTATTATGTTACTTTAAGGTATAATTTTGAATTTTTTTTATTGAAAATACTATAATTATAATACTATATAATATTATAAACTTATAATATAATATATCGTTATATAATTAATTTTTTTCATTTAAAATTCATTCATAATATTGTATGTATTTA